TCACATCAACAATTCCCCACTCAAATCAAAATTCTTTTCAAAACTCTTTACCAAACAAATTTTCTACACTCAAATCATAACTCCACAACACACAAACTCAAAATACAACTCATACTCTCAAATCACATTTACAAAACTCTACCAAACGCTACCTTAATTTTTTATCAACTTTTCAAAACACTACTTAGCGGTACTTTGGAAAGTAAGTTAAAAGTTACTTTCTAACTCTTTAGCATACTTTCTCTCTCATAAAAAAAAAAAGTCGAAAAGTCAAAAAAATTAAAAATTTCACTTTTAACTATCTTCCCAAAACACTCCTTAGTTATTTTTTATTTTTATTTTTTTGGGTGTATTTGGTTTGATTTTCAAACATTATTTTCTAACTGCTTAATTTTTTGTTTTCGTTTTATTGCTTATTTTTTATTTTTTATTTTTAAAATATATTTAATTTAAATGTTTTTAAAAGCGTACATATATTAGGTTATATTTTATTTTTATATTATTATTGATTTCTATTAATTTTTAATATAGACAATTAAATTTTATTTTTATTACAAAAAAAAAGTCAACAAATGGAGGGAGATTTTTAAAGGAAAAAAAAACAAAAACAAACCGTAGAAAAAGGTCATTTGAACAATTTTTTTTTGGGACATCATAATTTTTTTTGGGTGCATCAGAAAAAGGTCATTTGAACAATCATGACTACTTTTGTTGATCAATGATCATGTTGAACTGTCAGAATGACCTGTTGCTATTAAAAAAGCAACATTGGAATGAAATTACATTCATATGCTAGATTTGGCATAATGGGTTTGGATTAAAATAGTTCAAAATAAAATAAAATAAAATAAGTTAAAAAATTAATAAAATAAAATATGATATTTAAATTATAATTATTTTATTTTTTCTTTTATAAAAGTTAAAAAAATTAAAAATTTATCATAAATAAGACTTTTTAGTCTAGATTAAAATAATTAAAAAACTAAAAAATCAACTTACTTCCCAAATGATGGCATATAGCATATATATATATATATATGATGAGATTAGAGTGTCTTCGGTTCTTCATCGGACTGGACAATTTAGTTTAGTCTATTAGGCTGATTTTTTAGTCATATTTTCATAATTCGAATCGTTTAAATTTTAAGATTTTTAAGATTTATCGAATATGTTATTCTTCTAAAAAATTAAGTTGATCGGATGACGGAAAATATGTGTTTAGATTAATTTTAAATACACTATTTATTTTTTTACCATATATTTTTTTTATCCAAAATTGATTCGAACACATAATTTTTATTATTCGATCAACTTATTTTTTTATAAGAATGATATACTTAATAAATTTTAAAATATAATCAATTTATATTATTGAAACAGAACTCAAAAATAAAATATCTATCCAGTCCAACGAAGGTTTGACGTATAGTAAATCTGCAACCTGCATTTAGTGGCTGTTTGGCATATGCTAAAATAGCACATGCTATCTTAGCACATTATTCTATTTAAGTCACAATTATCTTATTTTGGGATGCTACCTTTTTAGCCAATTAGTCAAAAAGTTACTAAATTAGCCAATTAGTCATACCAAAAAGTCAACAATTACGACTTCTCTCTACTTTTTACACAGCTTTTCGTAATTAGTCAAAAGGTCATCCCAAACATACAAGTTTTTTTTACCTACCTTTTTAGCCAATTAGTCAAAAAGTTACTACATTAGCCTGTTCCCAAACGACGACAAGTCACATTACCTCTCTACCACATCAACTCAAACCTAATCCATATTTCACATTTTTCATAAAAAATTCAAAAAGCATACTAATCTAACACTTTCAAAACAACCCCTATTCAAAGCTCATGGATGAAATCTCAAATTTACGGATGATTAATAACTAGCTGTCACACATCAACGAACTTAAACTACATCTTTATTTTTTGGTAAATTGCAAACATACCCTCTAAAATTTATTTAAATTACAAATTATCTCTTATAATTCTAAAAATTATATTATATCCCCTAAATTTTCTAATTTCATAACAAATAGATCCTTTTATTAATAAATCATGAAGTTAATTAACATTTTTTAATAATGTTAAAATTTTATTTCAATTAATAATTCAGATAATTTTATTATTGGTAAACAGTTAAAAATTTGGGAGACTTATTTATAAGTCTTTTTTCAGACACTTATGATAGGTTAAATCCTGTGTAATTTCTTATAGAGGCTCAAGTCCTATTTAGATAGGAATGTATTCCACAAGATCCTACATAAACGTAACGTGACGTGACACTTACATAAACGTAACGTGACGTGACACTTACATAAACGTAACGTAACGTGTCACGTTACGTTTCACAAACTTAATGAGTTTTTATTTTTTAAAATTAAATGTGAAAATATTACTGGTTTATGTTGATGTCACGTTACGTTTCATATAAATATGATCTTTGGTAACATAGGAAATTAAATGTTGAATGTTGTCATAGATCATAGGTGTCACGTTACGTTTATGTAGGTGTCACATTACGTTACGTTTATATAGATATGATCTATGGTAACATTCAATTTCCTATATATGATTTTACTATTATTTATGATATTAACAACTAATATTGAGGGTAAATGTGTCAACAAACTTCCCACAGGATTTATAGGAACATATATTTTTTAGTAAGACCATATGTAGCATAAATCTCCCTAATAAGACTTATAAATAATTTTCCCTAAAAATTTTACTTTTTCAATTAATTCTATTTAATAAAAAATTCTGACAGGGAGATATTTGTAATTTTTCAAACCACAATGGACAATTCATATTTTAAGCAAATCTGAAGAAGTGTATTTATAATTTACCTAATATATCAATCAGCTACATGAGAGATGAGGGGATTACCCATTTTGGAGAAAAATAAAAGCCACTTTTTTTTTCAATTTTTTTTTTTAGTATTTTTTGAAATCATATCAATTTTTTTTATTTTTTTAATCTGCCTTATCGAGATGAATTTAAAAAGGAAAAATGACTCGTAACTCGAATTTTGTCCGGCTCAAATGACCCGAACTACCCAAAACGATGTCGTTTTGGGCAAAAATTTTTTTTTTTTTTCTTCTTCTTTCTTTCCTTTTCATTCTTTCGAACATAGACAGAGAATGAAAAGAAAATGAGAGACAGAGAGAGAGAGAGAGAGAAAAAAGAGAAAAGAGAGGAGAGAAGAGAATCGACGGTGATGGTGGTGGCGATCGACGGCCTAATCTTTTCTTTCAAACTTTTTTTTTTTTTCTAAGTAGATCTGGATCTGAAATTTTTTTTTATTGATGATGATAATATCAATCCGGATCTGCAGACCCAAGGAATTTTTTTTTTATTTGTTGATGAAGATGATGATGATGTTGTTGCAATTTGTTGATGTTGATGTTGATGTTGATGTTGATGAAGATAATGAACAAGATCTACAGACCCAGCGCGGCAGACCCTTCTTCTTTTTCTTCTCCCTTCTTCTTATTCATCTTCAGCAACGAAAAAAAAAAAAAAATCGTTTTGGTGTCGGGCCATTCGAGCCACGCCTTTTTCGAGCTACCAATCGGAGTTGTTTAAAAAGTATATTTGTTTTAAAGAAGTTTTAAAAACCTCACTAAAGATGAAAATAAACTAAAAAAGATTGCTTATTTTGATTTATTTTTGTGTTTTCTATATTTGTTTTTTGAATTTTTTTGAAAAAGAAAAATTATACTTTTTTGGTACATCTTATCAAGCTGAATCTAAAAACGTAAAACTCTTTCAATAATTTTCAAAAACAAGTACACTAAAGATGATAAAAAAAGGGTATGGCTTCTGTTCGGTCCGAGATAGGACTGGACCGTACTGTTAGGCCCGTGGGGGCGCACCACGGGTCCCGTTTTGATAATCTGAACCGTTTAATGTGTAGAAATCGTCGAGTACTATATGCCTGTAAAAAATCACGTTGATCGGATATTGATAGCTATGTGATCAAAACAGTTTTTTGTCAACCGTTAATTTGTTCACCGTCCAATTTTTTTAATACGAAACTGATTTGATCATATAGCTATCAATATCCGATCAACGTGATTTTTTACAGACATATAGTACTCGACGAATTCTACACATTTAACGGTTCAGATTATCAAAACAAGACCCGTGGTGGACCCCCACGAGCCCAACAGCACGGTCCAGTTCGATCCCGGACTGGACAGAAGCCATACCCGAAAAAAACACCCCCCAAAAAAAACAAAAAACCATGCCCAAAACACCCAATCTTATACCTCATCATCTCATTACCTTCCTCCCTGTTCTCCCCTCTTGCCTATTCGACTCTGCCTCACCAACACCGACAACCAGTGTCTAGACATTCTACCCATAACAACCACCCTTACCTCCTTATAGTCCATGAGCATCTCCAATCTAGTATCGATGCTTTATCAAATTTAAAATTTGATGAAAAGAGTCAAATGAGACGTTCCAACCCTTTCATCAAAATCATATTAAATGAAGAAAAAACTCAAATTTTCATCAAATGAATGGAACCTTTCATCTTTCATTAAATTTAAATTTACGGCTCGGCTAGACATCCTTCCAAATGTCTACCAAGAGTAATTGTGACAGTTTTTTTATTTTCATTCAGACGTCCTCCCGGACAATCGGGAATGTAAAAAATGTAATGAAAATTTTAGTTTTAGCATTAGAATGAAGAATATCAAAAAAAAAAAATTTAAAAAGTTTACTCAAATTTAGATGGTCTTACAGCTCTCACTTAAGGGAAGCTGTTGTCTTCTTTTTGAGGTCATATGATGTGAAAGTCAAACTAAATACTGATATGCAGAATATTGTTGGGTGGGTGCCGTAATAATACAGATGCTTTACGGTTCATCCATCCGTGAACAAGTAAATCCCAAATCTATCATCACTATTGTGTTGGAAATGGGAAATACAATACAAGGATTTGAGGAGAGAAAAGAAAGTGAAGTTGGAGATGAAAGATTTACCTATTTCATAAGCGAAACCAGAGAAAGCAGAGCAGCCTGGGCCTCCTGTCAACCAAAGAACCAGAGGGTCCTCTTTGGGGTTGGATTCAGACTTAACAAAGTAGTAAAAAAGCTGTACATCTTCTGATTTATCCACACCCACATACCTAACACATACATGTATACACAATACATAACATAACATAACATAACACTAATCAACTATATATTCATGCACAAACAGAGAAGAAGAAAAAAAATGAATCAAGTATACTGAGTTGACCCACCCACCATAAATGAACTATATATTCATGCACAAAGAGAGACGAAGATGATGATGAATCAAGTATGCCGAGTTGACCCACCCACCCGGTTTCAAGTTCAAAGGGAAGGGGTCCTTCAAATCCTGGGAGAGACTCAACCACAGAGTAACCGAGTACGAGCTTAGATGAACAAGCAATCATCAAAAGAGAGAGCATGAAAATCAAAAGCAAGTGTGCCATTTTTGAAGCCAAGTTTGTGTTTAATTGGAAGCAATCAATAACAGCGACACAGCAAGTGGGGGATAAGAACAAAGGGTCACCGATCCAAAAGGAACCAAGTAGTTGATTTGTATTGTACACTTCTCTTTATCATCTTTGGACCCTCTTTCTTAATTTCTTGATGATGTCATGACAAATAAATTAATGTATCCTCAGCAATAGTGACAGATAACTGTATTTTAACCATTAAAAACACAATGACAAATAAATTGTACGTGTTAGATTTGAATTTGTTTAATTTTAACATAAACTATTATATATGACCTTGTTTTTCAATTTTTTTTTTATAATATATATTTTTTAATTTGGTGCCTGAGCTAATAAGTTTTATTTTAATGTAATCCAATTCTTATCTACCATCTAATTATTGACAAAAAAAAAAGAAAAAAAAAATAGGAATACATGACATTGAGATGCTCCTAACTCAATCCAAAAGCGAGAACAATCTTTAGAGTTCTGTAAAAAGATAATCCAATGTATATAAACTTATCATAAAATTACATAAATTTTTAGAAAATTACATAAGATCATTTGTATAAATTTGTAAAAATTAATGTAATTTTATGGTTAGATTACATATGGTGTACATTGCATATCGGAGAATTTTTCTATAAAAAAAAAATAATCAGATTCTTTTTATCATTTTTTGCAATTAATGAATGGATTTTAAAAAGGTCAAAAAAGAAAGGTTAATAATCTGAGAAAAATGTCAAAAAAATTCAAAATTTCAAATTCAAATTCAAAGTATTTACACATTCCAAAATTTGTATCACATTATTTCCATGAGTTTTCTTTCAAATTTTAAAATTTTATTACTACGTCACATTCGTGAGAATGTTATCAACTTTTTTTCGGCTAAAATAGTCAATAAAAATTTTTAAAAAAAAATTAAAATAGTCAATAAAATAAAATAAATAATCATATCATACATATCAATTAATCATTTTTTCTTACAACTATCTATTCAATTACAAAAATATTCAAAAATCAACCCAAACAAACCTTTTTTTCTTCTCATAAAAAACAAATAGTCAAAAAGCTAACTAAAATAACCAACATGTCAAATGAAGGCTTAGTTAATTGGGATTCACTGTAAGGGCGTGGACGGTCTCCAGTTGGACTAGACAATTGAACAATCCAGTCTAGTCCATTGTGGGATAATTTTGAATCCATCTTGACGATCCAAACCGTTCAATGCGTATAATTCGTCAAGTATTTTATTTTTATAAAAAATCATGTTGACCGGATATTAATAGTCACTTGATTAGATCACATTTGTGTAAACAATTTATTTTTAAAATCATAATTATCGTTGATACAAATTTTATCTAATCAACAGACACATGCCAATGAGTGATAGGAGGAAAAAAAAAATAAAAATAAAAAGTAAAAAATTAATCAATCCTACTCCCTCCGTCCCAAAATATTGGTCCTTTTTGGGGAATTTAACTTTTTTTGGTAGTACACTTATTGCATTTGAAAAAAGTTGATTTTCCAAAATTTTTATTTTTATAAAAAATCATGTTGACCGGATATTAATAGTCACTTGATTAGATCACATTTGTGTAAACAATTTATTTTTAAAATCATAATTATCGTTGATACAAATTTTATCTAATCAACAGACACATGCCAATGAGTGATAGGAGGAAAAAAAAATAAAAATAAAAAGTAAAAAATTAATCAATCCTAATACATTAAGAGTGATAGAGGTCAAGAAAAAAAAGAGTCAACTTTCTTTTTTTTTTTCTCAAAACTGGTGGAAAGCCACTGCCTTGCTGAAAAAAGTCCATCCCCCGTACAACTTTAATGAACTTTGATTGTATAAAGGATAATGAAAATATTTGATAGTTTAAAATTTTAAAATTTAAATTGCTTAAATCTGTCAAAATTGATGTCGTTTTATGTCGTTTTACACTCGAAACGATGTCGTTTTGAGTGATTTGAATCATTTGAGTCATAAATTTTTGAGTTACCTAGCATTGTTGAAAGGACAAACAGGTACTTATTACGTAGTGTATAATATATTTTCGAAAATACCTTATTTTTGTTCTACAAATTTTAAAATTTTATTACTTTTGAAAAAGATATCTATTTTAATAAAATTAATAATTTTAGATTTTTTTTTTGTTGAAACTATAAAAAAATAAAAATAAAAATAAAAATGAAAGTCTATTATATAAATTAACATTGGTAATAAAATTTTACTATACATGTTTAGCATGTGAATAATAAAAATTCACTGCCATTAGTACTCACCGCTACACTCAACTATGATTTATATTGGTATGTAAGTCTTGGTTTGAGGTGAGGATTGATTTTTTGACTTTTTAATTATTTTAATTTGGGATCAAAAAGTTATATTTGTGATGAGTTTTTTGACTTTTGTAAAAGAAAAAATAAAATGATTATTATTTGATATAACATTTCGTCTTATTAACTTTTTAGCATGTTTTATCTTTTTTGTGACTAAAAAAAAAAAAAACTCATGCGAAACATAGCCTAAAACTATTTAAGAAGAAATTTATCAAATAATGAAATGTTAACGTTAACCTCATGGATTGGTCTGGTAGTTAACGTTTAGAATCTATGAATGTACTTATTTAAGGTTTTAAGTTAGAAACTTTTAAAGTACAAGTGTGTTTAGTTTTAGTTTTTTAAATTTAGTTTTTTTAAAATTTATTTTTTATTTTTCGTAATTTTTTATTTTTAGTGAACATTTTTTAAAATTTTAATTTTTTTTTTTACTTTTTAGATGCACCTTATTTAGATGTATTTAAATAGTAAAATATTTGTAAAAAAATATTTTAAAAAATTAATAAATACACGAAAATATAAAAAATGAACTGAATTTTTTTTTTTTTGGTATTTAGAAAATTTTTTAAAAATTTTTTTTCACATATTTTATACTTTTTTTAACATAATTATAGAACATTTTTTAAAATTTTAATTTTTTTTTTACTTTTTAGATGCACCTTATTTAGATGTATTTAAATAGTAAAATATTTGTGAAAAAATATTTTAAAAAATTAATAAATACACGAAAATATAAAAATGAACTAAATTTTTATATATTTTTTTGTATTTTTTGGTATTTAGTATATTTTTTAAAAATTGTTTTCATAAATATTATATTTTTTAAGTATATTTATATTAGGTGTGTCTAAAAATTTAAAAAAATACTTAAAATATTAAAAAAATTCATTAAAAATATTAAAATATGAAAAATAAAAATATAGAATTTTTTGAAAACTATTTTCTCAAAATCAGAACCAAACAAGCTATAATTTTTTGAATGTCGAGTTATAAATTTTTTTTTTCTTTTTATTAATGTTAACAGAGTGTAGTGGTGGATTTTTTTTGGTTAATAGGAAGTTTGTAAAATCAAACTTAAAGCTCCACCTCCACTACCCCACCCAACATACCATCACCATCTATCTTACCTTTGTATGAAGTATAGGCATCTCTCTAAAGGTTATGCCTCCGTTTGGCAAGAGCTAAACGGGGCTTTTTTGGCTATTTTAGCCACAAAAAATAAAATAGGCTATTTTAGCCACAAAAAACAAAACATCACATCCAACCCATAATCATTACATTCTTCTCTAACATATAATAAATATATAAAATTATATATTTTGCGCATGTTCTTAACATATTATGTCTTTCATTTTTTAAAAATTTACATATATGCATGTTCGTATCATGTTCGTGTCCCGTACTGTTAAGTTTGACACACTAGGTTGAGACCCAAAAATTAAAAAATAGTTGAAATACGGCCTGTTTGGTAATGTTTACGTTTTCAGTTTATATTTACAAAAATTTTGTAAACTGATTTTTTTTTTATTTTTAGAAAAACATAAACTACAAACGCGTTTGGTTTATGACAAAATGTTTAAAAAAAATTTAAAATAATATAAAAAGTGAGAAATACACAGTGGAGGTGCGGGGTGGTGGTGGTTGACGAATGGTGGCGGCGGAAGACGGTGGTGAAAAATGATAATGGGTGGTGATAGCGAAAGACGGTGTGAAAAATGGTGCAGGCGGTGGTGATGGTGACAGAAGACGGTGGTGAAAGTGGTGGCAGTGGTCGGTGGATGGGTGGTGGTGGCAGAAGAACGGTGGTGGCAGAAAGAGTGTGGAAAGTGGTGGCAGTGGCGGCGGAAGAGGTGGGTGAAAGCAGTGTAACGGGTGGGTGGATGGTGGTGGCAGGTGGGTGGTAGATGGTGGGTGGTGGTGG